CCCCCCCCCAGCCTCTCCTGGTGCGCGGCCTTGAAAAGGCTGTGCGCGGCCACACTTTTAGTTGTGCATGGCCACAGACGCGCACCTTAGAGGGAACCTTGGCTACTGTGCAGTGTTATTAGGCTAATGCGCATTAAGCATCTTGTGTAGATGCACACTCCCCCCTGTATAGATTAATTAGGCAGGGCCCACCCTAGGGATGTGTGGGACCTGGGGCATATCAGCCTACGCAGGGCCTGTGCAGGGAGGAAGGTGGTGGCGAGCAGCCAGAGTGTGAAGCTGGCAGCATGTGGCAGCCTCACAGAGTGGTGGCACCCTCGGCACTGTCTGCGGGGGCCCCCCAAAGCATGGGGCCCAGGGCATCACCCCAATTCCCCCCCCAGGACAGCTCTTTAACCAGGTATAGCCCATGTCAGCACACATGCCTCATGGGTGGACCTAGGATTTTGAAAAGGGTGGGGGGAAGGTGGCACAGTGCATCATCACATATAACACAACTCATATTATTCCTCCAGCACAAAAGAAATGTAGAAGCTTTCCTAATACATCAGGGGCCCAGGGCTGTATCATTCATTTTCAGATTGAAGAAAAAATAAATATAACTTTGTTGGAATGTGTATTCATTTGCAAGATTGTGTATTAAAAAAATACAACAAAGTAGACAAAATAGACTCAAAAGTTGTTTCTTTAGTCCTGTGCTCATTAGAATCAAATGTATTGAAATGTAAGTGTATTACACAGGCAGACAAGGTTCCTTGGGTGAATCTGATATCTTTTATTAGACCAACTTAAATAGTTGGAAAACAATTATTAAGCAAGCTTTCGGGTTCAAAAACCCTTTGTCAGGCTAACGACGTTTCTGCAGTTGGTGTGTGCTCTTCCTGGGTGGAATGAAAAGTAAAGGAGCCAGCGGCTGGGCTGGTATGCATACAAGACAGGTAGTCAGTGAAAATGTAGATTGAGGAGTCAATGGGTGAGAGACAGGTGTGGGGGAGGAGAGGGAGAAGGGGGATGAAAGTGGAGAGATACCTGGGGAGTCAGATGTCAGGCAGGTTATAATGTGTCATAAATCCAATGTCTATATTTAGTCCATGATTTTTAGTATCCAGGAGGTTGATGAAGTGGAGTTCATAGGCTCGTCTCTGGGAAGTGTTGTGTAAGTTTCCTTTGAGGATCAGGACTGAGAGATTGGAGAGAGAGTGGTTTTCTTGTGAGAAATGTGCCCCCACCGGTAACTGGGTATTTCTGTCTTTGATGGATTTCCGGTGTGCATTCATTCTGGTGCGCAGTTGTTGTCTGGTCTCTCCTACGTATTTTCCATCAGGGCATTTGGTGCATTGGATGAGATATGTTACATTTCTGGAGGTGCAGCTGTAAGATCCTGGGATGCTGATGGCTCTGTTGTGGGGTGTAGTAATGGTGGGGGTGGTGGAGATGTGTTGGCAGGTTTTGCATTTCTTGTCATGGCAC